AGGTTTTATATATACATTTGAATAACTAAAAAATCATAAATTACTACATTAATATCATAGAATTCCACTATAATTTATCAAGGTTAGTGACTAAGCTTTATTTAGGTCTAAAAAAAATATGAAATTTAGAGCAGACTAAAGACACGCCCTACCTCGTTGAAATATTGGTTCAAAAGAAAGGAATGGTGCCAAGTCCATTAAAATGGCTGAGAAAGCCACTAGGGGGACATTTTGAGCTTCCAGTTGGTTATTCATGTCATATATAGAAGTAAGTGTATATAAGGAAGCGTTTCCAAAAATGGAAAGAGGTGGGCAGAGTGCCATTGTGTTTGATTTATTACACGAGCAGTATCTTAGCAAATTAAAAAGATACGAGGCTCTTCATTTGTATTCTAGCTTGTCAATATCAGTAATTTGAGTTTCTAATTCGTACGAAACTATAGACCTGGTATTTTGACCTCACAAACATCGAATTTGAACCAGTGCTGCATTCAACATACCATGTAACACACAAAAATCAATGTTTATCTGTGTTTTTTTAGTATTTGCTTTTAAATTAAGAAATTGAATAATAGATAGTACTAAAATTTGAATTATAATCTACAGTTTGATACCAAACTTATTGATATAAATTCATGAAGAAGTAGTTCAATAAAATTTTGAAGGTGAATCAACAAACAAGATGACATGGCCTTTCACTCGTGACCCGTCTAATGTTATTTCAGTTACATTTTTAAGGCCTATTACAACTGTACAATTATTAGTTGACTCACTTTACTTTTTAGTAATTTCAGTGGCAAGTCTTTCATAAGTTAAAATTTTCCTTTGAATATTATAGTATTATACATAAAAATATTTTTCATATTCAGTACTAGTTAAATTGCTTTTCTTTAAAATTACCATTTTTACGTTAACTGAAATATGCTGGTATTTTCCTAATTAAATTTCTCCAATTATCAATCCTTGGGAGTGAAAATTTTTTACAGGCTTATATATATACATGTAGAGAGAGAGAGATTTTTGACAACATAAAATTATGGAAAAATTAAAATGGCTTATTTAAAAGAAAAGTAAATTGTTAAGTTCACAATCGTAAAATCCAATTCAAAATGTATTTTCATGGAAACCACTTGCTCTCTTTATATTTAAGTACCTTGATTATAATAATATGTGTGATTTGTAGGAGGAAAGATGATGACATGCATTATTTTATTAGATGTTATACTGTATACTAAAGTGAAAATAAATGGCATCCATTGCTGTTTTCATTCCTTGCTCTTTTTTTTTTAAGTACATCTAATAAGTAATCTTACTCTTCACTTCTTTCAAGTCACACAAAACATTAGATAATCTACAATTTAAAGTTTTGTTGTAAATCTATTAATCTTTATGCCTAAGCTCTTTAAATAGTTTTATCTTAAGTTGGTAATGAAACACATACCTAAAGTGCAATCAAAAGAGTTTATAATTGTATTTTCAGTGAACAAAATGTTTCTTTCTGCATATGAGAAAAGAAAGTTGCAGTGACAAAGGCAACACTATTAGCCTTTGGGATTAAGATTTTATTCTGTATAACTAATGGTAATATTAGTGGTTGTTAAAACATGATTTCATGAGTTGAACAGACTCAGACATGTTCTGGTTGTTTATTGTAGAACAGGTGCAGTTTAGATGTTTTGTGAAATTAATTTCCTCAATTTCTGTTTTGGCATCATGGCTGACAGTGAAAAATGCTGTTGATTGTGCTTTCTGGGGAAATTTTTTAATCGGAAAGTTTCAGACAGCATTTATATTGGTCTAATATGTGGGAATATATGCTTCCTCATTAGTGTAACAATATTAATAATTTTTATTATGTCTATCCAGATTTTATTTTAGTTTTACATTCATTCAAGATTGCATTTATTTTATTTGCCATAATTGAAAGTAGAGTTTATTATTTATGAAATATTAGATTATGACAATCTGCAGATGAAAAGTGAAGTAGTTTTGCATCAAATTGTCCAGATCTGTTTGGTCTCATGAAATCAAACCTTTAGCTTATAAATGTGACTTTTCAAAAGTAGTAAGTTATAAACTTTGAAATAAAGCTCTGATTGATTACACTATAAAAAATATCTTTGTATTTTTTATTTCCTGTGGCACATTACAGAGACTTAATTGAAGTATATCATGATTGCAATTAAGTAATTACAAGTAAATAAAAATTTGCCAAATCAAGTGGCATATTTAAAGTGAAGTGCATTTGTCAATTTGGTTAGTGACAGGTAAAACCCTGGTTATTTTATTCTATCTACTGTCTGTTTTATCATTTAGTCTTTGAATGGGAGAGGTGATGAACAAACTTTTTTTTGGGGGGGGGGGGAATTGAAAACATTTGGCACTGTCTGTCCTAGGGTCTGATTAGCAAAAAAAAAACTAGCTTGAATGCTGAACTATGAAGAGTTCCCTTATTTTAGCCCATTCAGTTTACTATTTTTACTTTAAAGTATCTTAACCAGTAAAAATCAATAACAAATTGCACCATTGCACAAATAACATCCAAATATACCAAATATAGCTACAATATGATAATAGCCTGTAAATACTAATAACTGTTTACAATCATTATAATAGAATAAGAAAAACTGGTCATATTTTGGACAAACGACCTTCATTGTGACCTTACAGAATTTTATTGGCTAAAATATAGACTACTTATTTCTCTTTCCATAATAGTAATATGAAAAAGTTATTTGTATTTTTCAATTTATTGGTCATTGTATGTAATTGGAAACTTTCAATTTGGATATGAATAAGCAGAAGAGTAAGTTTATGTTTTCTTAGTGTTTGTAGTGACATTTGTCTGAAAGGGTTGTATAATATATTTTAGTATCAAAGTAATTGAAAATTCATTGAAATATATTTCATCATGACGTATTAGTTATGTAGCTTAACTATTGTAAGTTTCTATAAGGTGTACATTGCTTTCAGTATACTTGTATCTATTTTAGAATACTGATTAGAACATGATGCAGTTTTGGTTTGTGTGCCTGTATTTTTTCAGTTACGGTATATAACTTAACACTGAAACAATATACAATAAGGAAAAATTTCCTTGGAAAAAGCTTCTGTATTTGTGAGAAAATTCTGACCCTTTTGCTCCCTATTTTTTTGTACCACTCACTTTTGTATATTGAAAACATGCAAGTGTACCATACTTTGTATGTACAATCCTATACATTGTCTAGTAAGTAACAGGAACTCAAAAACAAGTATAATCTGCAAAACATTGATGTTGAGTAAGGTGTGTTCTTTCCAAATCAATAGTAGTTATACAGTGTAGAGTAAGAATGTTTTGAACATAGAATATATTATTTATTCTACTTCGGTAAAACTCACAATCCTCCTGACCATGGTAATTTGGGATATTCATTGTACATTTTATAGAAACAAAAGCTGGAAATTTTAAAATTTAACAAAATGGTTATTTGTATACATACGTTGCATCTCAGATATTGCAGAAGATTTATTTTAATGAAGTACTTCAAAAGTGATAAGTTATATGTATATATATTTTTGCAAAAGTGCATAGTTTAGAGAATTAATTTGCATGTACTGTGATGAGTGCAAAGTGGTTTAGTGCAAATTGAAGTTTCTCCAAGAACTATTGCAATTTTTCAGCATATTTTCAGTTGTTTTTCACTCTCTCTTGTGTTGAAAGTGCATATCTGTTATTTTCATTTTTTGTGACAGTAAGTAGGTTAACTTTTAGTTTGTTGAGAGAGAGAGAGAGGTGCATATAGAAAGAGTATATAGTAGATTAAAGCAATTAACATGTTTAATTTTGAGTATTAAGTGATACCATTAAAACAGTTTGGTTGCAAAGTGTCTTTTACAAGATAATTAGTTTAAAGCTCAGTTCTTTATATAAATTGAATAATATTATCCTAACTTTGGCACTTAAAAAAATATTATTGCAATTCATTTAATTTAATAAAATGATCTAGTTGTTAATATATAGTTTTTGCTTCTTCCTGAATAAATGTGTTTATACTTTGTGTAATGTAAAGAGAAACTGAAAATTCTCTTCCATTAGATTTAAAGTATATTGTTGGTAAGTCTAGATTTCTATATACATTTTTTATTGTAACTAGAAGTTACATTTGTTTTACTTTAGTAATGTTTAAATGTACACAAAAAGTTTTCTTTCTGAATTTTACTTTTATCAGAGTACTGAGTGCAATCTCTTTTAGTCGGTTATTCATTTGAATATGTTGGAATAGTATAATAATTTAACCATATCTGGCCGAATCTACTAAAAGTCAGTTTATTAGAGATACAGGTGCATGGCTGTTAAAAGTAAAGCATGTTAGAAACACAAACTCTACACAAAATAATTTCCAGTATGGCTTGATTCAAATCATTTTCTTTTGAAAATTATTTATTATGCATACTATTTAAAATGGTATTATGTACAATTAATATGCAGCTAGAATTAATGTAATTTTACTGCTCAAACTTGCCATTTCCTGTTTTGGTTTTGTGATTCTACTTGTATTGCTTGACCAGTGAAGTAGATAATAATCATGATGATATTTGTTGCATATAGTTGTCATGTAGTGCACTATATAAAGAATTATGTAGGCTCCTTGTGCAGATAAAATTAATGGAAATATAATTATTAGCTTTAAATCTGAGGTGATGTAAACTTGACTGTAACTTTATAACTAATTATATGTTGTTCATAGTATGTTTTGAAACCAGTGTATGTGATATTAGCTTTTCAGATATGAATATTGCCACATTAAAAATAATGTCAACTTGTTTTAGAAACTGTTATATAAAAAAAAAATAATAATCCACTCTTTGCTTATAGCTTGGGCCGTAAGAAGATATAAAATTACATGTGTAACACAAATAGTTGAAGAAGTAAGTGTATAACTTAAAGTATTATGGTAGTATATTTTTATCTGAGAACCATGAACCACCAAAGTTTATTCATCTATGAACCTATGTACAAAGGGTGTTCAGAAATAAATGGATTTTCTTTCTCATATGCAACCAGTGAACAATAATATTAATTAGTCAGTTTTGTTCTAATGCTAAAATATATTCTCCTAAAGCATGATAATGCCAGTCCACATATTTCCTATAATGTAAAAACCACAATTGAGAAGTTCAAATGGACATTCCTTCCCCATCCAATATTTAGACCTGACTTAGTACTTTGTGGCTTCCATGTTTGTTGGTCATCTCAGATACAGACTACATAAGAAATACATCCAGTGTGTGATGTTCTTAAAGCAGCAACAGTAGACTATTCATAACATACCAGCATTTTACCATGATGGAACAATAGAGGAAATGCATCATCCTTAAGAGGAACTATGTTGAGAAGTGATACTTTGTTGCTCGCATTCTCAATACCATTAGCGCATGTTTGTCATTTGTAATCTAATATTATTGGCCAACAGAAAATAAAATCCTATTTCGTTCTGATGCCCTAAAAATTTGTAAATAGAAGTACATTCTGTGTTTCAACAGCTTTTGTATGGATATAATATACATTATCATTATTGTATTTTGGTACTAAATAACAATAGTCATTACCCTATTTAGAAGGGAATTATAAAACAGTAAGCACAGCTCAAAGACTTGGCACACACCTTGAGAATGAAAAAAAAAAGAGTTAAATCACATTGTTCATAATTTATAATTTTTTTACACAGTTCTGCTACAGAATCAAGAGCTGGGGCTTAAAAAATGTTTAATTTCAACAAGCTTTATGCAGTACTTGTTTATTTAGTACTGTTTCTTTTTTTTTCATAGATTGGCGATGTCTTGGTGCAGAGACAAGAAAATGAAAAATTACGATGTCAGACCAGACATTTAAGTTCCTGTTTAACAGATTATCTTCAGTTGTCTAACACTGAAATCTGTGTGAAGTGGTTCAGCCAGGATCTTTTAAATGTATGTTTTGATATATTTTCAGAAGCTGTGCACAGTTACATCATAGTATTATGGAAATTTTAGGTCCAAATAGTAATATAATTTTCTCATATATAGCTGAAGATGTTTTGTGTATAATTATCTTTTTAGCAGTTGCATTTAATTCAAAACTTGACATGTTGTGTATACTTAAAATTAAGCTTATGACTGTAAATAACATTCAGTTATGTGAAATACAAACACGTGTATGTTCTCTTTAAGGAAAAAATATTAACATACTTGGTACTTGCAAATAATATTTTGCTAAATAAAGACTTGCTGAGTGTTAAGAACTCATATTTGGTTAATCATCATGAAGTGTGGAAATATTGAAACAAGTATTCTACTGGATCGTAAAAAAAGAAAAACAAGAAAGAAATATAATTTAGACGTTTCGACTCCCTGTACTGTAGTTTTTCAACCTTATCAATACTAGTACATTTGTATAGTGTGTATTCTATAGGATGCTTTCATTAAGTATATGAAATTGCTAAACATGGTTTTAGATGTTTTATACCATTATATTTTTCAGACTTCACACTTTCTCAGTCAGTAGTTTGTGACCCAACCTGCTTCAGTATTTTTTTATGCAAATGTTCCATACTTTCCACTAATAGTGGTGATGGGCTTTGGCTTGTTATTTATTTATTTACTGAATTTCATGAAATTACATTATTAGATTTACATTTAACATTAAAATTCAGACCTATATGATATATTCTTCCTTCCATGCCTGCAACTTTGGTAAAGCATTAGAATGCAGTATATCAATTTAGTATGTATGAGTTTCAGAGGTGATCAGGTTGAGAATGTGTCAGTTACCATTATCCCATCATATTGATACAAAACATCATACATGAAAAGATTTATGGCTGATGCACTATCTTCAGTGAAGTTTTGTAGTATTGTTTAAGTAAAATACTAGATGTACAATATTGGAAGTAAATATGGAAACAGAGGACAAAGTGAATATATAATGTAAACTGTATTAATCACAAACATAAGCACAATGCATTATGACAGAAAAGACAACTGAAAGCATTGTTCAGAACAATCATATTTGTTATGTGAGCTATTAGTTTTATATAGGGCTCTACACTGTGCTTTCATACTTCCATACAGTTTACTATTTTGGACGTATGTATATCTTACTGTTCTTGAAGAAATCTTCACACCTGTATGGAAGCAAGGCCTATTGCAAGATCTCGACTGGATCATCTCTATATTATGCAGCAAAATTCTTTGAGGAACTTTATATAACTTTTGGATAATTTGTATTTTCTTCTTGACCACTTCTGTTGTTGAAAATACCAATTTGACAAACTTTTCTCAGCATCTGACATACAGCACTGGATGAAATATAGAGACTTGACTGTGATCTGTTGATAGGATTGTCCACTTTTTTTGTCAACAGTATCAGTTTCATAAACTCGTCTCAGGGTCTGACATACAACACTGGGTGAAATGAGAAGTCTGACTGTGATCTGTCGATAGGAATAGCCTTCTTTAGCTAAAACTTTGATTGCTATATGCTTGTCATGTGTAATTTTTTTCTCAGGGACCATCTTAAAAATTGTATCACTGTCTACTTATATAGACCTTGTGCTGGTTTGGCACTTTCAAATTGGTTGTGTGACACCCAAACACGTTGTGCAATGTCAATAACACAACAATGGATTAGGCAACATTTATTTTCCACACAAAATATATTGTTCTATCATGTGTAATTTGAATTGTATATCCACTTTGTCCTCTGTTTTGACATCTATTTCCAATACTGTAAGTTGAAGTAGTAGTTATTGTAGCTCTTAGAGTGTTCAGTTTGTATCATTTTATACTGATAGTCCTTAAATTTAGGGTTTATGCTATTGAAGTCTATTATTTACAGCTTCTTCACATTACTAAGCCTAAATATAAATATAGAATGAGTGTTAGATCCCCTCCCCCTTTTCTTTCCTTTATTGAAAAAGTACAAATAAAAGTATAAAGTGTAAAGAAATTTGGATATTACATTATCATAAAGATGCCATTTATTTATTAAGTTGCAGACGTTTGACACTTTTTGTTTTACCATTTTAAAATACATCAGTGATTGAACCCTTATAAAATGTAGGGTGAAGCATGGCCTAGTGGTTAATGTGCCAAACTGTGGTTCCATGGGACCATGGTGTGCATCATATTGCCATAAAAATATCACACTTTATTATGTTATAAAGAATGAAAGTCAAAACCCACTATTTCCGTATAGTGGCCCAAGAGTTGGCAGTGGGTGCTGTTGACTGCTGTCTTCACTTTTGTCTGTAGGTTCAAAATTATAGATGGCTATCATAGATAGCCTTTGTGTAGCTTTGCAAAAAATGTTTGTAATAAGCTAAACTTTTAAGTGCAGTTCTGAAAAAAACTTTTATAAATGTATATGTAAGACACATTAATACAATACAATGTTAGCAACCGAAAAACAAAGAAATCTATTTAAGGCATGTAAATAAAACAAAGCTTGCAAGTCACTTATTGAGTTGGTAAAAGTTGTTTTGAGGCAGCTTAAAGGTTAAAATAATTTCAGTGGGCTTGAGGTATTTTTAAGTGATTGCATATTTGTAGTATTAGACACATTATTGAAAATTTAGATAAATTTATGAAAAGGGTACTTTGTCCTAATGTTGAATGTTGACAGTATGTTAAGTTTTTTATTTCTTTACCCAAAGAAAGACACTGAAGTTTGGAAACGTAGGCCACTTCCTCCAATCCTACTTGAGGCTGCAGTGAAACGTGTTATATATCTGAGGGAGTTGCGTGTGGCTGTAATGGAAAAACTTTTAACTGAATTCACATCTGCAGTTAATTCAAGCTTAAGCCTTATAAGAGACATGAGTCATGAAGAATTGGATAATAGTGCAGTAAGTTTATATATATATATATTAACTTTAAATATTGAAAATCTTGTTATGAACACACACATTATCTGACAATCTTATAGTGACCTATTTTTCTACCACAAGTCCTTACTTTGTACATTACAAATAAAGAATACCTGTATTATAAATAGAGTAGAAGCTTTATCTTCTTCTTTGATAGAAAATACAAATAGTGAGAAATAACTTAGTTTTCCCATAATGGAGGAGTGAGTAAGAAACGTTATTGTTTTTCAAGAGACAGAAAGTGCAAGTTAATAGTTAATTTATACTCATTG